GCTCCTAAAATCTAGGAAGACTATGTTGAGGACTAAGTGGATGGGCTCTCACCTAGGGTGTGCTTCTAAAGTGTAGGAAGTCTAAACCGAAGACTAGGTGGGTAGACTCTCACCTAGGGTGTGCACTTAAAGTTCTAGGAAACCTACACTTTAACTTATGCTTAAGGTGATTTAAGGTTTTCTATATCTTCCAATTAATTAAATCATCAATCTCCATCTTTATGACTTAACCATGTAAAAATAAACAAAATAAAAGAAGGCCGACCCACTTCCAAAACTAGCAAAGCCGAAAAGAGGGAAAAACAATAAGTAAATCGACCTAAAAACATTGAAATGATAATTAAATGAAACCCAAAACAATAAATAAAGTTCTCCAAATCAATACTTCTAAAAGCCTCCAACACCACATTTAAAATGCTCCAAACAATAATTTTAAAATTCCCAAATAACTCTCACGTAAGCCCAAAACATCAATTTTAAATGTTACAAAATTAGCTAGAAAACTGGCCCAAAATAGTAACAAAGTCTCCCTAAAAAAAAGGGTAAATTTAAAGCTCCTGAAAACTGCAGCGAAACCAGTCTGAACCCGTCCCAACCGTCCCAAAATAACCCTCAAACATTGCCTCAAACAACTTTTTTTTTTAAATGGACCCAAACAACACTTGTAGAAACTCCAAAACAGTGAAATCGAAGAGCCAAAACAATACTATTTAGTGCTTCCAAGCAGCAATAATATGACTCGAATACGACAACATTTAACTCTTCCCAACAGCAAAAATACAGGACAAACAAAATAACATTTTATTTTTCTAAGACCACAAGTTTATAAGACTTAAAACAGCATCTATGTCATTTCGAAAATTTCAATTCAGCAAGTAGACATACAAATACTGAAGTTTATGTGTATTGTAAAAGATAATGCATTTCATTAAACAATTCACGAGCTAATTTAATATCTGTAAACTTCATAAATATATTCATCAACAAATTCTTCAACTTCAATTAAAATAGAACTCCCTTCTCCATCAAGTAACAATGTTCCATACAGATCATAGATGAGTTCACACAAGCTTTCAGCAATGGCATTAGAGCATGGAGCCTAAATTTTGAAGATGAAGAAAAAATATTTCACCATTAAATTTAACACAAGTCTATCAAGATCAGGAGAGAACAAATTTACTTGGGAAAGATTTCAATACCCAAGTACCACATGAACATCCCATGGCAGATTTCGAAAATTCCAAGTATTGAACCGTGGGTCCAATTCATTAAATATGAATATATTTGCGGGATGTGAAATTACTCATCGCATGCCAATAATCACAAAATGAATGGAGATTTTGAGCTAATCATAAGCCTCTTAGAATAGCTATCATGAATAATAAAATTGATTAGCAATGTTGAGGGAATAAAAGAAGCAAGATAAATCATTGAAACCTGTATTGAGATGCTTAGAAATGGAAACCGTTTGTTCACGATAGAGAAGCAATCTTCGGAATCCTGCAGCTTGGACGATCGAAAGAGGAAGAAGCGGGCAGCTGGGGTTTTGATCGAGCAAAAGGACCGAGCGGAAGGCAGGGGTCTTCGGCGCAGTGAAGAGGAGATCAGCCGAGCGGGAAAGGCGAAACAGGTCCTGGTGCCGAGAAGGGAGAAGGCGAGCAAGATTTGTCGAGAACAGGGAGGATGAATTTGTCGAGGAACTGTGCTTCGGCGCAGTGAAGAGGAAACGAGCTGAACCGAGCGGGGCTTCGGTCGAAACAGGCAAAGGCGAGCGAGACTAGGGTCGAGCGGGAGGTCTCGTTCAATGTCGCAGGGGGTCTTCGGCGAGAGCCTCGATCAAGTCGCCGAGGAGCGGGCGAGCGGAGGAAGAAAAGGAAGCGAAATTTTCAGTGCAGGGGAAGAGGGGGTCGATCGCACACGAGCAGGAAGTCTGGCGGCGGGATCGAGCGTGGTAGAGGGAGGCCAGCGAGTATCGGTGCGTGAGGCAGAGAGGGGGAGAAGGCGAGCGGAGGAGTGCGATCGAGCAGGGTCAACCAGAGGAGCAGATGATGCGAGCGGGAGAGCCCGAGCAGAATTTTTATCCCTCGAATTCCAAAAATAACCGTTAAGCTTGCGTTGGGCGGGGAATTGAATACCTTCCTTTCAGGAATACCTTCCTTTCAGGCAGTCATTCCTTTCAGGCAGTCAGGGAATTCAATACCTTCTTTCAGGAAGCTAGCTTAAATGATAAATTTGAAATTTAAATTTTAAATTTTGAAATTTCTGAGCTGAAGTAATTAGCCCGTGCTTAATCCATATCGATCCTGAATCGAACCCGAGTCGGACCTGGGTGGAGCCCGGGCCCGCGCACCGCTAAAAAAATATGCATCGATATCCGTGTTAGTCGCTCGCGCGCGAAACCATAACAATGCGAGTGTCCTTCCAAGCTAAAGTCAACGTCCCGGACGCATCGGCGCGGTCCGTTTTGTCATTCGGGATCGTCCGGACGAGTTCGCTGACAGGCGAGTCGATTTAAGTCAAAATTGTGTGTGGTGCAGTGAGTGTATGAATTGCAGCGTTCACGAGTAATCGAGTCACAAAGGATTCACCTAAGGTTGTTTGATCCTATAGGAACTTATTTTCGGGCCCTCTACATGTTTGGGCCCTCTACGTTGGTCCTTAGCCCTTGCAACTAAAAGTTGAGTGCTTGGAACCACTCATGCGAGTTCTTCACAAAAATGAGTCAAGAAGTGGCTTGAAGTTCTACGGGAGGTGGACTTCATTACTAGTCCGCTAGGATAGTCAACAAGGAACTCCTAAGGCTAGATTATCGGTTCTAGAGTAGGAGACTAAGACCTCACTAAAAATGAGGTCAACAGAATGAAACCCCGATTAAAAGATACAGTGATTACTTTATGTTGAAAAATGATTCAAAAGGATGTTAAATAATGAATTTTCTCATTAATTGATACCCCAAGCATAAATTCTAGGAAAATTACGGCAGTAATAATAATACAATTCAACCTACCATAAAGAAAAAGAAGAACATTACTCCATTAGAATAATAAAGCATCAAATATACACTATAGTTAATTGTATGAAGGGCAAAATAGATACAATAAAAATGTTTTGGCTAAGACATGGCATGCCACATATATGTTAAAGTTAGTCCTAATGTCTGGGGCTTTTTATTGATCTTTAGAGAGTAAACGTTTTTTCTTTACGTGCGGACATTTGTAAGGCATGCTACGTTCATGATCTGATATAAATTGTTCAAATCCAAAAATATAGGAATGATCAAATGGCTAGCATAGCATATGGTCGTTTTTTTTTCGCTTAACATATGGTTGATGGCACGTCGTAACTAGTAGTCCAAACTAGGGATGTTAAAAAAATGTCGTTCACGAACAACTCATGTTCGGCTTGCTAAATGGCGTGTGTTTGATCCGTTTGTTAAGCAAGCGAACCAAACACAATCAATTTTTTAGCTCGATTAATAAATGAAACGAACGCGAACAGACCTTTACTTGATCGAGTTTGGCTCATTTTAGCTCAATTAATTAAATAATTAACAAATAATACTTAATCGTTACTATAACTTTTTTACTAAATTTTTTAAGTAATTTTTTTAATGTTAAATTTATTATTTTTAAAAATTATTTGAGCTAAATTCAACCAAACACAAGCTAAAACGAACACACAAATTCAAATTAAGTCAAACACGAGAACACAATTCACGAGCCAACTTAATTCAAAAAAATTTGAACCAGCTGAACACCAATTAACACCGTGCTCGCTAAAGCTCGACTCCTTTGCACCTGTAGTCCAAATCACTGTATTTTCCCTTCAAAGCTAACAAAAAAAGCTTTCAGCTTAATTATTCTTATGTATTCTACTGTCTCCACTTATCCGTGACAGAAGGATAAATGGCAGGCAAGGGAAGACACAAAAGTGACCCAAAAAAATAGAAGCACCAGAGAAATACACACCCAGGGAAAAAATTTTTCATCAATGGTTAAGAAAAAACCAAACAATGACATCCGATATCTCCTGAATAATCCTATGGTACTCCTGACAAATTTCACTACCCACCAAAAAAGCTATCATTCAAACTTAAAGTCTCAAGCAAGCAATATGAAATCGCTGAAACATTCAAGCGATACAGCCAGCTAATTAACTTGAAAGACGCTACATATTGTAAATTGTAAGCATTTCATAGAGGAATTTTGTTTTTCAGGATAGCTGTAAGGAAATATTTACAAAGTATGGTTTCTATGCAGATATAGCACCTTCATTTCATACTTACCAAGAGTTCCCATGAGTAGAAGTGCATGGCATCCACGCTCAACAGACATCCTGAAATCTATCTACTAGAAGAAGCTTAAAGCATATAACATACTTATTTGTGGGAGGCATATCGTTCTAAACATAGCTCAAGCCCAATAAAGCCAAAAGAAATTAACATCTGCGCTGACCTTCCTTTTAGCAAGTAATTAATTAGGCTTTTTTCATTTTCCAGAACAAAGGTTTATTTATACTTTGCACTTTAAGTTAGGTATGTTAGTAAAGATATAATTAATGGTTTTTATCTTTTGAAATGGATTATAGATATCTATCTTCTCATCTACCTTGTTTCAAGCTACTTTGAGCTCGTGTGAATAAAAAGGAAAAAAAAAATAACAAGTTTGTACAAGAAATCAAAGCTCAGATTGAGCTGATAAATTTTGCATAGGTTTGGGCAGAACAATATTCATCCATGCTCAACTCCTTTTCACTTCTGCATAAGAACATGGTTATCATGGTGAAACAACTAAATAAACATCCCTGACAGAGGTTGGATGCAACGGACCCAGAATTTCCAAGAAAAAAATTATATCATAATATCTTCAAATAATTTGTATCAAAATAAGAAGACAATGACATGTACAAAACAAAAGATTAAAACTCAGAGATAATTAGATTTTCAGTGAGCACAAATATTATTTTCTATTTTTATTTTAAGTGTATTTGGAGAGCCGTACCTGATATCCACTTTTTGGTCAATGCTAATATGACATTGACGACATCTTTGACATAAACTGGACACCTAAACTCGTCATGGAAGAATTCTATTTCTTCACCATGTGAAAGACTGCTGTCGATCCACTGCACTAAAAACAGTTGATACTTCAAATTTATGAGGATTTAAGATTCCTCGAGTAAAACTATCCCAAAGACAAATCAAAAAGAACAATCCAGAAGCCAAAGAGAATTATGAAACTCATCTGTAGCTCTTCAATAGATTACGTGGGTTTATAATCACCTGTATGATGAGGGACTTTGAAACAGGAGATATTGTTTGTGGACCATAGATTATGCTACTGCGTAAAATGGCAAAATTCGACCAATGTTCAGTAATAAACAGCTCTGCTGCCACTTTAGATTTTCCATACATGTTTACTGGAGTTGTCTCATCTTCTTCGTTGTAGAATGATTTTGACCCTTCATACACTGGTAATTCAATAATTCATATTAGATATGCTTCTTACCATTCATCGCCTATTAAATACAAGCTTGAAGGAACTAAAGGAACAAAAATATTATAATGCAAGTATATAAACAGAGAAAATATGTCAACATTAATTGAGAAATAACCGAGACTCAAGAAGCATAAGAAAATTTATCCTATTGATCGAAGGACAACAAAAACATAATTTCGAACGGCAAAGCATTCCCACCTAGGATTTAACAAAGACAAGGGATGCTTTAACTTTCTTTTGCATGGCATGAAACAAGAAATCATAGAAGTGGCAAAGAGTATCCCAACTGTTATCTTCCACCCATATCCACCTCCCATCTCACACCCACAAAGCTAGAAGGATCTTTCGTTAGTGCACAGTTTAAACTAGAAGTTTCGAAAAACCTATTTCAACAGAAGCTTTGTTTGTCTTTGCAAGTGAACTAGCCAATTAAATATCCTATAAATTAAATGGAGGCATGTACATATTTGTTCTATATCATTCACTTAGTTATTAAATGCACATCATTGATTGCAATTATATGTGAGCCTCATGAAAGTTAATGTTGGCATCCATTTTTTATGCAACACATACGAGATATCCTTTTTGAGTGATACGGTACTGTACTAGGATCATACGTGGTCTACCGCGACTCAAGAAGCCCATAGGACCTTTAAGCGAGTGTTTCAGGCATAATAGTTGGGGTTGCACCAAGAGTCGTGCTCTGAGGAGATCATCGCCGAGTTGGCATCATTTTTTTGGTGTCTTACGCGTTGATGTTCGTTCTTGCATCATGGGGTTGTGTCTTGCTGATATAAAAGTTCTCTTGACGCAGACTGTCGACAAAATTACCCAGCACGGGTTCATACCTTAAGCCTAGAGTCCGGACAGACAGATTTCGCGTTGAAACCGTCTTACTCAGTCTGTCTTACTCGATGACACGCATAAGGAACGTCTTCTTAAGCTCTTGGGTCGCATTTACGACGTCTACGAAGGTTCGATGATCATATTCTACTTATAGCCAGTCCTCCAGAGTTCCCACAAGGCTCGAATCCCATTTGATGGGATTTTCCGAAAGCCCGACTTATGTGATGTCCGGTAAGACTATGCCTAAATTGGGCGTGGTCATGCCCAATCCATAGCGTGACCACGCCTGAAATCAAGCGTGACCATGCGGAGGCTTCTCCAAGAGCCTAAAAGCCTTGCAGAGGGAGTGGCCACGCCAACCTAACAGATCCCTAGCATAATTATGTTGGGTTGTGGGCATGAACACGCCTAAACAACACGAGATGCCTAAAGCCCTCAATTGGCGTGACTAAACCCGCAGGTGGCGTGACCACGCCGGCTAGACAGAGAGTTGGCGTAATTACGCCAGCTTTCTCGCATGGTTACGCCAACCCCTTTCTGCGACGCTTTCGGTAAGGGTGTGACCACGCCCAAACCACACCCGATTCGGGGCGTGGTTACGTCGGTTCAACTTGTTTTGCTGATTTACACTTTGGTTTGTTAATAAAATGGTAATGATAATTTTATTATTAAGTCATGAACTAAAATGATATGTTATGAACATGATTTTATTTCCATGCGTTCAATATAGTAGAAGGTTTTGCGTAAACGAAAGAGTTATTTTCTCACTCCTGCAATTAACTACTTTTAAAGAATGATAAAAACCCAACGGTGTGATGTCATTGTTTTTTTATGATTCCCTTTTGCCATTGTAATGAAATCTTTTGTAATTATGAAGTAATTCTATCATTTTTTATTTATGGAAGCATCATAAGTATTATTTATAAATATTTGAATTTATAACTTTTTTGGTATATATATAAATGTGAGAAGATGATTTATGTTATATTTTTATTTAGATAAAAGCACAAAAAATTTCATTAAATTATATAGTTAATGTTGTCACAGAATATCAAATTCCTCCAATTAAGTCTCTAAATTATACAGAAAAGATTTGGTCCCTCCTAAGCAATAAAATCTATTTTGTATTGTCCAGGCATTAAATAGTGATCGGTTTTGTATCCCAAATTTCATCAATTTTTATGTGAGAGGATGTTTGAGATCAAATTTATATAGTTGAGGGACTAAATCATAGAAATATAATATTCTAAGACTGGTTTGACTGTAAACAAATCGTCATGGGACTGTTTTGAGTTTTTTGTTATTGACGATTTAATAATTCTCTATTATGCAATTAGAAAGACATAAAAAATTACTTTCAAAAAAGTTTTGAGCAAATTCTCATCATACACCTGACCAAATATGGCCTATTATGGGTTATGTCGAATTAGGCCGTAATACCTGAATTTTAGACATGTCTTGAAGCTATCAAAGAAGTTACATCCAAAAAATTCACACACCTTCAGCAATAAGGTAAACCCTCAAAATCAGAAGTTTGACAATTGCAACTTGAGCAAGCACAAATCCAAATCTCTCGAGCACTATTATATGTGTTTTGCATTGACATCATAGAGAATAATCATTTATATTTCAAATGCTATCTCAAGCATTGATGTTTCAACCATGTGGCTCACCTACTTGCATCTCCACAGTCCTCTTCCAGCCCCCAAAATTATTTTAACAATTCAAAAAATTGACACTATCTGAGTAAATGGAAGATCACTTGCATCAAGTTTACCAACACAAAAAAGTATTATTATACTTCAGCCTTTGAAAAAAGTATTAATTAAGAGTTCAGTAAAAAAGAAATGGCTTAGAACCTTGTGTAGAGACAACAGAGGTTTAAATCATAAATCAGACTATAACTTACTTAAAAAAACAAAAGATACATGTTAACTCAAAATTATCCTAGATAACATTTGATATGTAGCAACATCATGATGTAGTACATGTGTTCAACCAAAGCACTCAAATTAGAAAACAAGGTGAAATTCCAAGACAAAGAAGCAAGTAAGTTGAGGATTTCTGAAAGGAAAAGAACCAAATATGGTTTACCTTGATCAGTGGAAAGATGAATTAACAGAATATTGCTGTCCCTGAAGCTTGATAACCAATTAACAAGCGAGGCAGGTAAATTAGTTGCCATGGCTTCAATAGGATCCACTTCGCATGCACGAGGAACAGAGAGTGCAGCACAATTAACAACAACGTGTGGCTGAAAGCAAGCTCAAATACATAAAAAGCAGACGAACATCAGAGCAAATCGCATGAATAAATTTTCACATACAAAGAACCGCTGGCTATATGTGAATTTACAATAAATCATAGATCTTGCCTAATCCTTGTCAATAAATATTTCAGTACTCCTTTTAATTCCTTTCTTTATAATTAGGCCTTTATTTAGTGATCATTGAGTTCTTAGGAAGCTCACATCCAATCATGCCTCTTTTGTAAACCTAATTTCGGCAGTCCACCCTTAATTAAACGAAACAATTTACTATTAAATATTACACAAAGCTAGAGGACTGTTAAAATTAAGCCATTCAAAGCCAGACATCCTTATTTAGTGATAACAATTTAAATGATAAATTTGAAATTAAATATCAGAGACAATTTAAGCAACTTTTAGCTAGCAGTAAGTAAACAATCGTGCACAGAAACGTACCTGTAATATAATTTCGTTTATAAAATCATTTGGCATCAACTACAAGCATTCAAAGCAGATCCTAAAATATAACTATGAGATAACAATATTTACTTCTGCTTAATTCCTTTGAACCAACAAAGCCTGGCACACCACATAAAAGGAGAGGGAAGTAATCAAAACAAATATGCGGACCTTTCCGAATGTAGTGGAGATGGATTCGAAGCCCTCGCCGGTGCAGAGGTCGACTCGAAAGTACATAACCGGGGAGACGGCGTCGACCAGCTCCTGCGGCGGGATCGGACGGTGGTGAGTAAAAGCCAAATCGTAAGGCGTCTCACCCTCAGCAGTGGCGAGTGTGGCGAGGAGGTGCTGCCCTAGATAACCACTTCCTCCGA